TAGAAGAAAGGAAAGGCTTTGATTTCGCCGACAAGTGATTACAAATCCTCCTGTGACTTACGTTCAGAGAAAAGTAGCACTGATTGCCTGTGTCACCAAAGCAAGGGGCTTATGCCGTGTGGAAATCCATAAGGAAACTAGACATTGCGGACTAGAGATTTTGTGGAATTTTTTTGTTGTTGCTCTTGGCCTAATCTTTCAAAATTGACATCAAAAATGCCTCGATAAAATAATCATTAACACACAAACGGTAAAGGGGAGGGGGAAACACACCCCAAAGCCAATCCAGAAACTAGACACTGGAAATGTGAAATGAAAGATGTAACATGATTTAAAAGCTCCAGGGAAGCAGCTCACACAGGCTGTGTGAGAGGGAGATGTGTTCGCAGTAGTGGACATGAAGAACCACGGGATGCTGAAGAATTGACAGAATCACGTTTGAACTGGAGTGGGGTGAAAGACACTGGCACACTGTGGAAATCCCCACCAGGGATTTCTAGCGATTTCTAGGGACTGCCCCTTCCCAGTACAACTGGAGTAGGAAACAAAATTGCAGATGAGACATGTGAAGGCCTTCATCCTGACTAGTGCAACTGAAATCCCCTTTGTATCCCGTGTTTCCAGATCACTGGCAGCAGGGCTCAAAATGTCCAGTTAGGGGACACTGGAGTGGAATATACTAGACGGATGTGTGCATAGACTTAAAGACTCCAATCGGAAGACATGACTTGGCTAATGCACAGGCACACAGAAATGCCAACCTGCCTTGTGAGTCCTTCCCTGGAATGGAGAGGGAGGGGATGAGCAACAGAAACCCAAACCCAAACTGGAAGAAGCAGAAACTTATGGAGTTTGAGACCATCAAGAAAAGACCGTCAGACTCAATTCGGATTATAATCAGACAGATTTATTAAAACTGCTAGCAGAGCCACACAGTCATTCATCCAAATCAGAAATTTTTCAAGATAGGGTTCTGGATGTCCTGTAACTCACTCAGTAGACCAGGCTGACCTGGAACTTTATGATCCTCCTGCCTCTGCCTCCCGAGTGCTGAGATTAAAGGTATATTCCACCGTCACCACTGCTGGATTTCAAGGAAGGACTTTAAAAGGCAAAATCCACGAGAGCTGTTGAACATCTTCTGCATAAGCAAAATTACAGGGGCCAAAACCAGGAGTTAGTTATATCATAACAAGCAGATGGTCATGACTGCACATTTTTGGGTAGGGATCAAGGAGTCAGGGTTGTCAGGAACTTATCTTCTGGGAACTTGAGTCAGAGACAAACAGCTAATAAGTACCAAGATGGATCTCTAGCACAAAACGGATTTTCTTTAGCCATCACAAAATGATTCAGAAAGCAGAAAAATATGTATCAAAAGAAACAAAGCCATCAAAAGGTAAAGATAATGCTAGAGGAAAAAGAATCCATAGCAGACAAGAGAGCTCTTGTCTCATCCGTGCAAACATATGATCATAAATTAAAATTCTTTGAGAGATATTTTAATGTAAAATCTCTACAAAGTAACAAGATAGGAAATATATAATAAGAAAACTAGCAAATAAGTCTAAAAGATCATGAACTTGTGAAACAGAAATTCCAGAAAAAGAACAAGATACTGGTTGGTTACTCCCACAAGTTAGTGCCACTGTTGCTCTGGAATACCTTATAGGCAAGACGCAATTATAAACCACAGGGTTTATAACTGGGTTGGTATTTTTTTTTTTTGTAGTGTACAGGATATCTTCTGTACCAAAGACACTAGGACATGTAGATAAGGGCTCTATGTAGGTAGCAGATTGATGTCTCTGTATTCAGTGGGTTGTTTACATGGTGTCTTCATTAGTTGGAACCTGCCATCAGATGATGGAGAGCAACCAATAGTCTTGGCAACTGCCTGGGTGATATGGAGACTTCTTAGAAGCCCTTTGGCCAACAACTCAATTAAATGCAATGCAGTCACAGTACTAGAAGCTTTAATTGGTAACAAGAGATATCCAGAGGGTGCTATGTTGCCTCCATTATTTGACAAATTCATTTAGATCCCCTTCCCATATGTATATACTTTAGGAAGCTTCTGCTGTCTTAAGTATCCATACTATCCCTCAAGTAGTCCTTAATTTTGGCTGCCTTTCTCCATATTCTTTCTCTTGTCACTCTCTCTACCCTCTCTCACTCCCCTTCCCACTCAACCCTCCAACTCCCCCAACCCCCACCCATCCATAAATATCTATTCTATTTCCATATACTAGGAAGAGCTATCTGCCCCTGCACCCCAAGCCCCTTATTCTATACCAGTGTGGTTTTATGGATTCTACAATGGTTAGCATTGAGTTAATAACAAAAGTCCACCTATAAGCAAGAACATACCATATTTGTCTTTCTAGGTCTGAGATACTCATTCAGTATGATTTTTTTCTAGTTCCATCCATTTACCTGAAAATTCCATAATTTCTTCTTTTTTAAACATCTGAACAAAACTACATTGTATAAGCTTTATCCATACTTTTATTGAGGAATATCTAGGGTTGGTTCCAGTTTCTGGCTATTACGAAAAGAACAGCATTGAACATGGTTGAACATGTGTCTCTGTGGTAGGTTGGAGTGCCCTTTGGGTATATGCCCAAGAGTGGTATAGTTGGCTCTTGAGGTAGATCAATTCCTGTCTTTCTGAAGAACCACAATAATGATCTCTACAGGCTTATACTCCAACCAGCAATGGAGGAGTATCCCTCTTACACCACATTCTTGCCATCACGGGCTGTCATTTCTTGTATTGATCTTAGCCACTGATGTAACATGAAATATTAAAGTTTTTTGATGTGCATTTCCTTGATGACTAAGGATGTTAATGTTTCTTTAAGGGTTTCTTAGCCATTTGAGTTTCCTCTTCTGAGAATTCTCTGGTTACATCTCTGCCCCATTTTTTAGTTGGATTATTTGGAGCTTGGGTATCTAGTTTCTTGAGTCCTTTATATATTTTGGATATCAGTCCTCCACTGGAGCTGGTAAAAAATCTTTTCTCATTCTGTGGGATGTCATTTTGTCCCATTGGCAGTGTCTTTTACCTTACAGAAGCTTTTCAGTTGCATGAGATCCGATTTTTTAGTTGTTGATCTTTGTGCTTATGCTATAGGTGTTTTGCTTGGAAATCTGTTTTCTGTGCCAATGGGTTAAATGCTATTCTCCACTTTATCAGGTTCAATGTCTCTGGTTTTATGTTGAAGTCTTTGATACACTTGGAATTGAGCTTTATGCAGAGTGATAAGTATGGATCTATTTAGGCTCTTCTACATGTAGCTATCTATTTTGAATAGTGCCACTTATTGAAGATGCTGTCTTTTTCCTGTGTCTATTGCTAGCCTCTTTATCAAAAATCAGGTATCCATTGGTGTGTGGATTTATGTTTGGGTCTTCAATTTGATCCTGCTGACCAACTTGTCTTATCATCTGTAAATGATAATATTAATATATTATCATTATATATAATATTTATTTATAGTTATATATTGCTATATTATAAATATATTTTATATATTTGTATTATTAAATGATACATCTGCAAATATGTATGATTGTATATATGTGTGTGTGTTCGTTCGTGTGTGTATACATATAAAATGTGACTTCAGCCTTTCCAATTTGTATTCCCTGATCTCCTTTAGTTGTTGTTTTTGCTCTAGCTAAGAATGAAAGTACTATATTGAATGTGGTATTGGACTTAGAGAAAGGGAGGGAGAGATGAAGATCTGCAGTTAGCCAGATACAGGGGATGCTCCCTTTAAGATGACTTACTGCCTCAAATTCATCAGCCATAAAATCTAATGCCATGGGAAGCATTCCACACAGAAATTTGTGAGAAGTCTGCCTTAGGAAGCAATTTGGGACTTATTTATCACCAAACAAAGGGAACAACACAGAGGAAAATGGAACCCAGTTACACAGGATAAAAGCTAAAGGAATCTACCATAGAAAGCAATTTGGGGGCTTATTTATTACCAAACAAAGGAAACCACAACAAGAAAAATGGAATACAGTAACACAGGATAAAAGCTAAAGGGATCTTCACTAGTGAAAGGTAGTTAAAAGCTGATTGCCTATAACAGGAAATATGCAAAGTGGCTCAGGTACTTAAGGGATTTCTCTAGCTCGAGATGTCTATACGCCAACTTAAGACCAGTGCAACATCTCTAGATACTGGTCAGTCTCTCTTTATCACATCTTAAGCATTTGTCTTCCATTCTCAAGCTTGTCACAGTTGAAGAGAGTTCAAGTTCCAGCTATCATGTTCTGTGTGACAACCAATAAACAAGAAAGACAGACTTGCTGTCTGCTAAACCCACCTTTTAGTTACGCTTCTTTCTTGGAAGGTTGTCACAACCTTCCCATGTATTTATCACTAGTTTGTGCATTTCCCATTAGGAAGCCAACAGGGAAGCTTAAAATAAAAAACACAGACATAGTAATTTAAGCAAGCTGAGTTCTGATAGGATGGGAAATGACACAACAAGCACTTGCTAAAAAAACATCTGTGGAGAGGGGGTGGAGGCACATCTGGGCACCGGAGGAGGGAGCTTTACTTTGTTGAAGTAAGAATTGTGGAATTATTTGCCCCTTTAAAATATATGAAATTTTACTAGATTGGGATAAAAATTTTAAAAAATCAAGCAAAGAAAACTCAGTGGGTATTCTCAAATTAAGCAAAAAACAACATACCATGCACAGAAATTTTGCTTCTATTAATGACTTGGCCAATGACAGAAAGAAGGGTTAGTTTGCAGATGAAATGTTACTTGGGCTTAATTTTAAGAACAATGAAAGCCTAGAACATTCCGATCCTTGCGTTTATATACTGTAATAACAACCAGCTTGGCTCTCCAGAGCATGTTTACAAACAGTATTCCTCCTGAGTCTCCATTAACTATCCCAGAAACCGCTGGTGGGTGATACCTTAGGATCACTTCCTAGGAGCAGCATACTGAAGGTGGCTCTTGTTTCAGGCAAGGCCCAGCCAAACCAGAAGTCTTATCTATCCAGTGGCCTGGAAAGCGATCCAGCCGCCGAGTCCAGAGACACAATAGCTTCTCCCCCAACAGCCCACAGTTCAATGTCAGCAGTCCAGGTAAGACACACTCCGACGCTTGCTTCATCATGTGTATGATTGAAAAACAGCAGCTGGAACGCTTTCCTCTTATCAAATGCATGTGACACTGAAGAGGGCAGAGTATTTATTAGGAAGTGAGGAGAAGATCATCTCAGATCCTACCCTCTGCTCCTGGACCGTTTACACAGGGATGGATACAGAGGAAAACACTCCCGCAGCCAATTCCTGAGAAGGGCCCTGTAGTGCACCCTAGTCCTGAAACTGCTCCTCCACCCAACACCTCCTCCCTCGCCAAGTCCCTTGAAGTGTGTATCATAAGCTCACCCAGGAAAATTTTAGGATTAGCCATAGCTGTCTTATCCTATCCCAAATACTTAACAGTGGCAGGTGTGTCCACATTATTCCAGCTCACTCAGAAGAAATCAAAGCCCAGAATAAGAAATTATTTGTCTAGGATCATCTGGACTAGCAGTGCATTTTTATTGCCAAAGAAACCCAAAAATCTGTATAATTACAACTGAAGACAATTGGTTTTTCTCCCTCATGCATGTGTGGTTAGTGCTGGTTTGGGCAGTATCAGCCAGGTATGGTTCTAGGCTACAGGCTGAGTTCTCTGATCCTGATAGCTTCATCTGGAATAAGTGATAATCAGAGAATCTGTGCCTCCTGATAAGTGGCAGAATCACAAGCAGCCAGGCCAAACTTATATAAATACATTTAAACTGCAATGTTATTCTTGCCGCTTAACTTTCCATTTGCCAAGTAAGTCACATGCCCAGCCCACTAGTCATGGAGAAGGAAATTATGACCCTCACTGCAGCAAGAGGTGTACAGTTGACCCCACCTCAGGGCTTGCACAGGAACTGTGCCAAGGAATGAGCAAGGAAGCGGCAAGCAAATACAGACTGCTCTCCTGGCTCCAGAAGAGCAGTACTGGTTTCCTGAGGCCAAGCATAAAATTATACTATTTCCATTTTAACCATTTAGAAAACACAGAGCCAGGGAGATGGCCCCAGGTGTAAATGAGCTTGCTGCCAAGTCTGCCAGTCCCAACTTGATGCCCCAAACCCATAGGGTAGAAAGTCAGACCCCATAGTTGGACCAGCACCCACGGGTTGTCAGCTGATTTTTACACACACACACACATGCCTCGGAACACATGAATTTTCCCTGAGTGTGCATGCACACACATGCACACATGCACAAACAATAACTAAATAAAATATAAATGTGATGCAATGCAGGAGGTTATAGAAAATTGTCAGTTATGATCATGCTATCCTGAGTGTACACGTCAGACTTAATCTTAGAAGCCTGACTAGTACTTTGATGGAAAAGCAGAGTCAAAACTACAGTTCCCAAGGACACTGATTTTCCTTAAAGCCTTGTAGGGAAGGACCAGCTTAGAAATATGCTACTTAAATTCTTATTAAGCATTAAACATGAATATTGGTTTCTACATTTAAAATGTTTTCTTAAACTCTCATGTCTGGCAGCACTTATTTGTTGCGGTCTTAATGTTTGTTTTTATTTTGTAATTTGTTGGTCTTGATTCTATTCTTTCTACAATAAAGGGAGATTTATAATTGTGAATTAAACTTTGCCTTCGTTTCAAGGAAAATTAACTAATGTAACTTTAACAAGCACTTGTAAGATATCTTAAGTGAGTTGTGTCAGCAAATAGGAAGCTAGGATGATCAGTCAAGGTTTCAGACCACAATGCATCCCTTTTCATCTTTACCTAGTAATAGTTAAGCAATAAAACTAGAGATTTATGTCATGTTTATTTTCTCAACAGTCCAGAGAATGATATGTAACAGCCATATTTTAGATTTTTAATAGATGAGCTTATCAAGTAGATAACAAGACAAAGTAAATGAATAAAGTGTGTGTGTGTGTGTGTGTGTGTGTGAGAGAGAGAGAGAGAGAGAGAGAGAGAGAGACTGACTGTTAAGGCAATCAGCCTGAGTTCCTCATGGATAGTCCTGGGAGAGTACCCCCTTTGCGAGGCTTCCAAGTAAAAGAATAAATAGCAACTCCTAAAGATGACATCATCAAATTGTGAGTCAAATGAGTTTACAATTGAGCTTTCTCTTCATGGAAGAGCTTCCTGGATCTGAAATCTCTGGCTTCTCCTTCCCTACAGACTCTCTTGTATCATGGGAAAAACAGTAGTGACATTTGATGGAAATGGTTTCCCTGATAGCTCCTCAGGGGCATGTGTTTACTCTTGAGTATTCGGCTGTTCAGTTCCTCCCTACTGTAAAGTTAGAGAGCCATCTCATCCCCAGACATGGAGCCTTGGAGGACACTAGGAAACAAACATGCTTGGGTCTGAAAGGAGGAGGGAGAGCAATGCTACTTCTAAAGCCAACTTTCAATGAGCTCAAGCAGCACATGACATTTGCCAATGTCATATATATTACATGGTACAGATATGCAAATATTTGATACATATATGTATATGTATATACAAATTTATACATGTATCCAAATTAGTACCTACATATGTATATATATGAATACAGCACAACAGGCTCTGTTTGTCTGTTTGTACTCTTCACCTCTAAGCCATGACTAAAGGATCCATACAGTCCCAGGTTAGTTGGTGGGAAAGGCAACACCAACTACCTCACTATTCCACTTATTTCGCATCACCGCTTCACATCAAGGTTCTGATGTTATCCGTTCCTGCCCCTGCCTTGTAGGTGAGTTTACAGTCAGTGCTTTCCTTCTTTGTCAAAAGAAAACTAGCTTACAGTAAAGTAAAAGTGGCTCAGCAGTATCTGTTCTTGGATCTTTACAGGCCATTACAGAAAACATTTAATTTCAAAAAACGAAACAACAGGTTCATGAAAAAGGCAGTGATGTGGGAACTCTGTGAATCAGATACTTAGACATCACTCATGGGTGCATTTTTAGGAATCTGTTTAAAAGTCATTGACACTGCAGCCTTCCTTCAGGGTGGAAGAAGAGGTAACTGAGCATTCAGTATTGTTAAAAATTTAACATTGGCCTTTGTGATTTCCTCCCAAGCGTTGTTAGAAGAAGACAACCAGTGGATGACCCAGATAAACAGACTCCAGAAATTAATTGATAGACTGGAAAAGAAGGTGGGTACTCCTTTTTCTTTCCTCTCTCTCCTTCTTTGCGAAATCTTGTTACCCAATTTCCTCACCACCTGGATATCCGTCCCTGGTGGCCCACAAATACAAGAATGTCCAACATTCAACTTGCTCTTTGAATGGATGGTTGATAGCTATGAGGGCTTGTTTTCTGATTGGTTAGTTGTGTGTTTGTTAAAGTAAATATGAAAACTCTAGAGTTATGTTTACAATAAGAGCTGTGAATTAAATGAAATCTTAGGTTATTCTTGGATGGTGGTAATGGCATCTCATAGAACAATATATGTGAAGTCTTAAGCATCTACCAGTTAAATTCGGGGAAGAATTGTTTTATGCTCAACTTCTAGAGATTAACATGTTACCTGATAATGTTTAGCCTTAAGCCTGACTAGTAAGCATACAAGAAGCATATTATGAGTTATTTGGAGTTACATTGTATGCTTTTAATTAACATTTCTGTGAAGTGATTCAGCTTGTATCAAGTGTCCTAACATTCTACTAATACTATACATATAGAGCTTGGATGCTAAAGGAAACCTTTTTCAATCAGTGAGAGACTTGTTTCCTGTGATTTCTGAACTACAAAATAAAAAGAATATTTAGCTTGGCAAAAAAAATTGAGTTTTATATAACCCATGTATAGTATGGAACCAGCATCCAGTAGGAGAAGTGAGTGTCTGGCCTTCTCCGGCTCACCTCTCCCCCATGGAGTCCCCTGACCCAGGCATGAGGTCCTATCCAACTCACCGAATACCCCAGATACCTGGGCATAAACCAAACCATCCAGCATCTGACACAATGGGAGGATTGGCCCAGAACCCACCAGGAGAGGAAGAGACCCCCCACCTTCACCCACAGGAAGAAGACAGTATAAGAACACATTCAACAACATAAAGACTTATATGACACTGCCACAGTCTAGGGATTCTATACCAGCAAGACCTGAATATCCCAACAAGATGAAGCAGAAGATAATAACCTTAAAAAAACAACTTCATGAAAATGATAGAGGCCTCAAAGAGAAAATGAGAAAATCCTTCAAAGAAATGGAAGAAAAATACAACCCAAAAACAAATGCAAGAAATAAACAAATCCCTTAAAGAAAGCAAGGAAAGCCAAGAAAACAACAATCAAACAGGTGAAAGAAACAATTCAAACAGTTCAAGACTTCAAATATGAAATAGTGACAATAAAGAAAACACAAACTGAGGGAATGCTGGAAATAGAAAATCTAGGTAAATGATCAGGGACTACAGATGCAAGCATAACCAACAGAATACAAGAGATGGGAGAGAGGATCTCAGATGTTGAGGATACTCTAGAGGAAATAGATTCATTGACCAAAGAAAACCTTAAGTCCAACAAGTCTGTAACACAAAATATCCAGGAAATATGGGACATCATGAAAAGACCAAAACCAAGAATAACAGGTATAGAAAAGGGTGAAGAAACACAGCTCAAAGGTTCAGAAAACATATTTAAAAAAAATCATAGAAAAAAACTTTCCCAACCTAAAGAAGGACATGCCTATGGAAGTATGAGAAACTTTCAGAACACAAATATAGTGGACCAAAATAAAAAGTTCCCTTGCCACATAGTAATCAAAACATACAGAATAAAGAAAGACTATTAAGAGCAGCAAAGGAAAAAGACCGAGAAATCATATGAAGGCAGACATATCAGAATTACACTTGACTACTCAATGGGAATTCTGAAATCCAGAAGGTCCTGAATAGATGTTCTATAAACACTAAGACACCAAGGATGTCATCCCAGACTACTATACCCAGCACTATAAATGAAGAAAACAAGATATTCCATAACAAATCCAGATTTAAACAATACATATCCACAATTCCAGCCCTACAAAAAGTACTGGAAGGAAAACTCCAACCCAAGGAAGTTAACTACACTCACAAAAACATATGCAATAGATAATCCTATCTTACCAAAGCCAAAAAGGGTGGTGGGGGAGGGGGGAAGGAGACCACACACAATACCAACAACAATTCCAAAACTAACAAGAATCTACAATAAGTGGTAACTAATATTCCTCAATATTAACGGTCTTAACTTGCCTATAAAAAGACACAGACTAACAGAATGGATACATAGACACAATCCATCCTTCTGATGCATACAAGAAACACACCTCAACTTCAAAGACGGACGTTACCTCAGAGTTAAGGGTTGGGAAAAGATTTTCCATTCAAATGAACCTAAGAAATAAACTGGTATAACTAACCTAATATCTAACAAATCAGACTTCAAACTAAAATCAATCATATTAGTCACAGGAAAATCCACCAAGATGTTGTCTCATTCTGAACATCTATACCCAAAATACAAAGGCACCCATATTCATAAAGGAAACATTACTATAACACAAATCACACATTGAACCCCACACATTTATAGTAAGAGACTTCAACACCCCACTCACACCACTAGACAAGACCACCAGACAGAAACTTAACAAAGAAATAAAGGAACTAACGGAAGTTATGACTCAATTGAGTTTACCAGACACCTATAGAACATTCCATCTGAACATAAAAGAACATACCTTCTTCTTAGCATTACATGGAACCTTCTCTAATATCAACACATACTCAGCAACATAGCAAACTTCAACAGATAGAAAAATATTGGAATAACCCCCAGTATCTTTATCGGATTACCATGGTTTAAAGTTGGAATTCAACAACAACACAAATTTCAGAAAGCCTACAAATTTGTGGGACTTGAACAATGCTCAATTTCATCACTCCTGGATCAAGGAAGACAAAAAGAAAGAATTTAAGGACTTCCTAGAATTCAATGAAAAAGAAGCCACAGCATACCCAAACTTATGGAACACTTTGAAAGCAGTGCTAAGAGGAAAGTTCATAGCACTAAGTGCCCACATGAAGAAACTGGAGAGCAGTGACACTAGAGACTTAGCAGTACACCTGAAAGCTCTAGAACAAAAAGAAGCAGACTCACCCAGAAGGGTTAAATGCCAGGAAATAATAAAATTGAACTGAAATCAATAAAATAGAAACAAAGAAAACAATATAAAGAATCAATGAAACAAAGAGTTGAATCTTTGAGAAAATCAACAAGATAGACAAACTTTTAACCAACCTAATGAAAAGGGAGAGAGAACATGCAAATTAACAAAATCAGAAATGAAAAGGGGGACATAACAATGGACACTGATGATATATAATGAATCATCAGGTCATACTTTGAAAACCTGTTCTCCACAAAATTCAAAAAAGACAGTTTTTATTGTGGAATAATAAGGATTGGGAAAAACAGATAGGCTAAATAGATGTTTATTTAGGGAGAAATAACTTACAAGAGAGACAGATGAACACCAGCAGGTTCCTGTCCCAAGGACGACTCCGGATGCTCTCTGTCTCCATCCATCCAGCAAGACAGTGCTCCGGGGTCCCTGCCTCAGACCAAGTTCCCCCAGGTCTGAATAGACCTATAACTCCTAATAAAATAGAAGAAATCATCAAAAGTTTCCCAACCCCCCCCCCAAAAAAAAAGCCCAGGGCCAGATGGTTTCAGTGCAGAATTCTGCCAGAAATTAAAAGAATAGCTTATACCAATACTCCTCAAACTGTTCCACACAATAGAAGAAGAGCCATTGCCAAACTCTTTTTTCAAGGCTACAATTACATTGGTACCCAAGCCACACAAAGACACAACTAACAAAGAGACCAACATTGATACAAAAATACTCAATAACATAATGGCAAATCGAATACAAGAACACTTCAGAAAAATCATTCACCATGAACAAGTAGGCCTCAACCCAGAGATGCAGGAATGGTACAACATATGAAAATTTGCCAATGTAATCCACCATTTAAACAAACTGAAAACGAAAAACTAAATGATCCTTCAACAAGATCCAATACCCCTTCATGATAAAGGTCTTGGAGACATCAGGGCTATCGAGAATATTCCTAAATATGATAAAGGCAATATACAGCAAGCCAACACCCAACATCAAACTAAATAGAGAGAAATTTAATGTGATTCCTCTAAAATCAGGAACGAGACAAGGCTGCCCTCTCTCTCCATATCTTTTCAATATTGTACTTGAAGTTCTAACTAGAGCAATACGACAGCAAAAGGAGATCAAGGGGATACAAATTGGAAAGGAAGAAGTCAAATTTTCATTATTTGCAGATGATATAATACTTTATATAAGTTACCCAAAAAACTCTATCAGGGAGCTCCTTCAGCAAAGTGGCAGGATACAAGATGATAAAGGGGCTGAGAAAGAAATTAGAGAACCATCACCCTTTACAATAGCCACAAACAACATAAAGTATCTTGGGGCAACACTAACCAAACAAGTGAAAGACTTATATAGCAAGAACTGTGAGTCTTTAAAGAAAGAAATTAAAGAAGATACCAGAAAATGCGAAGATCTCCCATGCTCTTGGATAGGTAGGATCAACATACTAAAAATGGCAGTCTTACCAAAAGCAATCTACAGATTCATCAAAATCCCAGCACTTCTTCATAGACTTTGAAAGAACAATATTCAACTTTATAACAAAAAAAAAAAGGCCAAAATAGCCAAATCAATCCCATACAATAAAGAAACTTCTGGAGGCATCACCATCCCTCACTTCAAACTCTACTATAAAACTATACTAATGAAAACAGCTTAGTATTGGCATAAAAAAAGACAGGTGGACTAACCTATGAACACCTGATTTTTTTTTACAAGAAGCTAAAATTGTACAATGGATTAAAAAAAAAAAAGCATCTTCAACAAATGGTGCTGGCATAACTGGATGGTAACAATGTAGAAGGTTGCAGATAGATCCATATCTATCACCATACACAAAACTTAAGTCCAAATGGATCAAAGACCTCAACATAAATTCAACCACACTGAACCTCTTAGAAGAGAAAGTGGGAGGTACCCTTGAATGAATTAGCACCGGAGACCACTCCCTGAACATACAACAGTAGCA